GAAATATAAATAACATGATTTTAATGCTGGCATTCTGTTACATGGCTTTAATATTTACCTTGAAGCTTTTAGCTTTTCATTATTATCAATATGGATGTATTGATCATTTTGTATTTTGTGTAAATTCTGATTGTTCATTTATTGTCTCGGTCAACTCCAGTTTCCTTATGGTTATCAAGGCTTTTTTAAAAAATAGAGCTGGTCCTGGCGTGGTATAGAGGCTGAGCCTTGCATGCACTGAAATCCCATGTGGGTACCAGTTCATGTCCTGGCTGCTCCTCTTCCCTCCTATCTCCCTGCTTATGGCCTGGGAAAGCAGTAGAAGGTGGCCCAAAGGCTTGAGACCTGGTGCCCATGTGGGAGACCTGGAAGAAATTCCTGGCTCCTGGCTTTGGATAAGCTAAGTACCAGCCATTGTGGCCACTTGCTGAGTGAATCAGTGGATAGATCTTCCTCTTTGTCTCTCCTTTCCTCTGTAAATCGGCCTTTCCAATGATAATAATAACGAAAAATTAGAGCTGACAGTGACTCCATCATTAGATCCAAGCTACCTGCATTTGGGATCTGATAGGTGATTGGAGGGTGAAAAGTTCTTTGGCAGCCTGGAGAATTCTGCAAGGACCCATGCCACTTAAGGGATTGGACAGAAGTTGAATTTATTTACATTTAGGGAGTAGTCCTCCAGAACAAGGAAAGCCGTGTGCTACCGTTTGTAAGTAGAACAAACCAGAACAGTGTATATGACACACCCGGTCCAGAGAAACGAACTGAAATGGAAGCAGGCTGCAGCTGAGCATAAAGTGCACGTTAGGCGAGCTGTGGGCATTACGCAACCAGCCGCTGGCTGCTCTCATCTCCCTCGTGGTTCCTGTTTGTACTGATCATTCATTTTTGGTCAGAGCTGATGAGTGGGTGCTTTCCATATTCTCTTTTAGGCCCCAGTGTTCTTGGGGCCTTGACCTTTGCCCTCTTCCATCAGCCCACAAGTGGCAGCTGTCTGGCTCGTCCAGACCCTGGGTCTGTTGCACAGAACTAAGCCTTTGTGGATCCTCTGTGTGTGTTCATACTATCCATGGCATATGAAATTCGTGTCCAACAGTTGAGTCTTTACATAATAGCACAGATTATGCATGGACTCACAGGGACACGCTGATCTGTTAGGAAATTTCTCTCTCTGGTTAAAAGAGCATGTGGTGAGTTGTTTTGAGTGCAGCGAGCTGACCATTTCCTGTCTTCATCTGTGACACCTCCTTTATATGGGTGACACCCCAAGAGGGACTTGGTGCCATGACTGCAGTTGGTGAATGTGAACCCAGAGAGGAGGGTGATGGGGTTTGAAGTGTGGGGGTTTGCCTGGTGTGATCACTCAGAGAGTAGGTGGGTGTCTAGCCAATTACTGCATCTCCAGCACTCACACAGGTCTGCAGAGGGCTTGAGTTTCCCCACTCATAGGACTCAAAGAGGCGTCACCTCATCTTTCCCACCCACATGGAAGACAGAACGGAAGCTACTGTAACTCTTATTGCTCCCAACGCCTCCACTCCCCAGTCAGAAAACTTGCAAGCATCTGTAGATTGGGTCCTGCCCCCCCACCTGTGCCAGTTTGTGCTGCCTGTAGAATTTGACTTGGGCTACATTGTATTCTAGCCCCCAGAAGCCTTGAGGGCATCTCCATTTTAACAAGCAGTGTAAAACATCAATCCGCTCCTCGCCCCCAAACACACACACATTCCTTGAGAGTGTCATCCCATGTCCCTGTCCTGCACTTCTGGATTCTTCCCCCAACGTGCTCTTTCAAACACCCCGGGTTTCAGCTAGATTGAACCGCTTGCTGCTGTCAGCACAGCCCTTTGTCCCAGTGACCTTGTTCATTGTTGGACTTGGTTCCTGTCCACGCGCCTTAGGCTCTACATCCTCCCTGGCTTAGTCCCCTGTCCGGGTGTGCTGTCTCAGTAGCAGCTTCCTGTCACCCACGTTGGTGCAGGCTTCAGGAAGGTCTTTAAACTATGACCACTGGACTGATGGCTTCACCGAGTGTGACGGTGCATGCCGTGTGTAGCCGTGGGTAGCACTGCCTTGAGGGGAGTGCTTCCGGTGATGTATTCCAAGTCAGCCAGACGAGAGGGTAATCACAGCTGATGAAGAGATGACAGGGCCACCAGACAGGAGTCCTGCTGAGTAACAGTGCCTAGGCAAGCTGCAAATCTGGTAATTTTCTGACGCCAGCCAAGTGCTTTATTATTGTTTTGTTAAGATGTGAAGAGGTAGGAAACTGATTTGCGTGGCTGTTACGAGTCTGTCACCCACGTCCATGTCCCACGGGCATTCGCTCACTTGGTTCTGGTTGGATGCCAGTCTTGCCTTCTGTCGTGCTCTCTGCTGGCTCCTTATGACACTCGGAATCCGTAGCCCTGCAGGAGCCCCAGATCTGGCTCCAGCCCTTTCACCAGACTCCCTTGGCACTGGTTTGCTCTTCTGTTTCTCTGCTTCACCCCTCTGCGAAGAACTGTGCCCACAAGTTCCAAATGCATGTGTTTCCTTTTCATCTTTACATCCGCTGTGATAGGGTACCAATGAATATGCAGCCTTTGTCTGGTTCCTTGTACTTTTTGAGGCACATTCCCGTGATATTTCATCAGCTCTGATTTCGGTCCACACGGTTCACAAGCCTCTTCCAAGGATCAGAATTCAGACAGGGAGCAGTGCCAAGAAAACCTGACAGTCTGATACACGAGGTCTTTGCCAGACATCATGGTACCAGCTTTGGGGCTGGCCTGTTCCTTCCTTCAGGCCTTACTTACTTCTATGCTGAAAAGTTGGCTTTGGATAATTTTGCCCATAACACTATATAATGTTTCACAAAGTGTTTAGGGTCTCTTAAGAAGGGCCGGACTGTCAGTTCTAATTATAATCACTGTGGGATGGAGGGTGACTGTTAGATTCACCACTCGCCAAATGTTAGATTCACCGCTTCCCAGGGAAAGAATAACTCAGCCGAATATATAAAAAGAATTTAGAAGGCTTTTATTTCAGGGAACCACGGTCATGGGCTTTCCTTCCCCGTGCAGCAGAAAGAAAGATGTGAAGGAGTGGGCTGCAGAGGAAGAAGAGTGCAGAAGAAATGGGGAAGGGGCCTTTTAAAACTCCTTGACACAGATGGCAAAACGGGGATACCTTGGCCCTTTTTGGAGAGGGGATATGGGTTTGTGCCCCATTGGTGCCACGGTGGTTTCACAGTGTGAGGGGCCTACCAGAATTCCGCCATTCATTCAGGGTTTGGTGAAAGCAAACTCTGCCTTCCTCCGGTTACCGTGGTAGCCGTCAATGACTTACTTAATTCCCATTATACCATTTGTACTTTAAAGAAATTGGTTATGGATTTATTTATTTTTCTTTTGGAAAGGCAGCTCTATCAAAAGAGGAAGAGACAGACTGAGAAGGATCTTCCATCCGCTGGCTCACTCCCCAGATGGTCACAATGGCCAGGGCTGAGTTAGTCTCAGGAGCCTGGAGCTTCTTCTAGGTCTCCCACGTGGGTGCAGGGGCCCAAGCGCTTGAGAGCCATCCTCTGCTGTTTTTCCAGGCCATAAGCAGGGAACTGGCTTGGAAGCAAGAAGCTGGGATTTGTAACAGACAGATCCAATGTGCGATGCCTGTGTGGCAGGCAACAGCTCACAGCCCCCATGGTTCCATGTTTTAATATAGAGCACAGAAAAGGAGGAATAGAGGTAGGGGTCTTCCGGAAGGTGACCTCTACATGTAGACAAGAGTCTGAAGTAATGGAGGGCGATGAACTCAGCTGTGTGCCAAGCAGGGCCCGGGCAGGACAGGGAGTCTCGGGCACTGGGTCAGGGCCAGGGCCGCTTTGTTGCTGCTGCAGAGCGCTGTCTGTGATACGCTCGGGGCTGACCTGGGTTGAACCTGTGTAAGGCATCTGGTCGTTGTGGGAGTGGAGAGGTAGTAAGCCGAGGACAAGGTCTGGGGTCTCCGGGACCTCAGACTGCGGCTTGAGCAAAGTGCACACAGACAGTAGGTATACCAGCTAAAGTTTACTGCAGGAGAAGAGAGTGCCCTTCTAAGAGAGGAGAGGCAAGCCCAGAGAGAGTGCTCAGGTCAAGGTCCTGAGGGTGAAGCATTGTGGGGTTTGGTAAGGGAGAGGGCCTTCTGGTGTGACTTTGTGGTCACTGGCATGCAGACCATCTGTTTCCAAGCTGGGGCCCAGTGCGGTAGCCTAGTGGCTAAAGTCTTCACCTTGCACATGCTGGGATCCCATATGGGTACTGATTTGTATCCTGGCTCCTCTACTTCCCATCCAGCTCCCTTCTTGTGGCCTGGGAAAGAAGTAGAGGGTGGTCCAAAGCCTTGAGACCCTACACTTGTGTGGGAGACCTGGAAGAGGCTCCTGTTTCCTGGCTTTAGATCAGCTCAGCTCTGGCCATTGTGGCCGCTTAGGGAGTGAACCAGTGGGTGGGTCTTCCTGTCTTTATCTTCTCTCTGAATATCTGCCTTTCCAATAAAAATAAATAAATCTTTATTTTAAAGAAAAAGTTTCCAGGCTGGCAGTTTCTTAGCTTCCCCTTTTAGTGCCTTCCCCCACCCTCATTTCTTTGTCTTCTTCCTCAAGGTCTTGGGATAAGGGAGCCCAAGGCAGAGCTAAAGACACAAACTATGAAAGCCTTGTGGAATTTGCTTTTCTCAGCTTCTTGCGTTAACCCTGGGGTGTCTCCTATCAGGATTGCTGGAAAAAGCTCATCAGACTACACTTGGCTGATGAGGGGTTATGAGCTTTCTGGTGTCCTCAAAGCTGTTATGGCTGGGTGGCCTGCCCTGCCCGGGGCCCAGGGACTGGGGGCCCTGGCTGCACCCAAATGGACTGGCAGTGCCCTTCTGCCTTGTGGCACTTTAGTTGTCCGATGACACTCCCTTCAGTGCTCACTGTCTTTCTCTCCTGCAGGGCCCAATATCTTTAGCTTTCCTGATTTTTTTTTTTCCCATTGCAGATCAGCAACGCTGTCGTCCTGTTGATCCTGCTGAGTGCACTGGCCGACCCAGACCAGTATCACTTCTCAAGTTCTGAACTAGGAGGAGACATTGAGTTCATGGATGATGCCAGTAAGTGCGGCTAACAGCAATTTGCTAAGATGGAGGTGTTTTCAAGAGCATGGAAGCCAGCTGCCTATCCTTCCTAGGAAATCACAAGTATTGACTGATATGCCTGTGTGAGCTTATGTTGTGCTTTCCTTTCCTTTCATTGTTCCAAATCATACCAGCAAATAAATACTATCCACGCTATAGCCTCTGTTCAAGTGTGAGCATCTAAATAAGACTTTTTTTTAATGCCCTGTTGAGTATTGATTTTTTTTCTTTTTCTGTTATTTTTCATTGGAAAGTCAAATACAGAGAGGAAGATCTTCCTTCTGCAGGTTGGCTCCCCAAGTGGCTGCAACGGCCAGAGCTCAGAGGCCTGTCTGAAATCAGGAGCCATGGGCTTCCTCTGGGTCTCCACGCGGGTACAGGGTCTCAAGGCTTTGGGCCGTCCTCCACTGCTTTCCCAGGCCACAAGCAGGGAGCTGGATGGGAAGTGGGGCTGATGGGACACAAACCTGTGCCCATATGGGTTCACAGGATGTATAAGGCGAGGACTTTAGCCACTAGGTTACCGTGCCAGGCCCATTAACTATTTTTTAAATCATGCCTTTGTTGTGGGTTTTTAAAAAGAACTAATTCAGGGCCCGGCGCGGTGGCGCAAGTGGTTAAGGTCCTCACCTTCACGCCCAGGATCCCATATGGGCGCTGGTTCTAATCCCGACAGCCCCGCTTCCCTTCCAGCTCCCTGCCTGTGGCCCGGGAAAGCAGCAGAGGACGGCCCAAAGCTTTGGGACCCTGCACCCGTGTGGGAGACCCGGAAGAGGCTCCTGGCTTCGGATCGGCATAGCATCGACCGTTGCGCTCACTTGGGGAGTGAATCATCGGATGGAAGATCTTCCTCTCTGTCTCTCCTCTCTGTATATCCGCCTTTCCAATGAGAAAATAATAAAAAATAAATCTTTAAAAAAAGAACTAATTCATTTGAAAGAAGGGTTATATAGAGTGAAGGGACAGAGCAAGAGAGTAAGCTTTGATTGGCTGGCTCACTCCCCAAATGACTGCAGTAGCTGGAACTGGGCTGTTTGGAAGCCATAGGCTCCTCTCAGTCTCCCATGTGGATGTCAGCACCCAAGCCCTTGTGCCTTCTTCAGCTGCTTCCCTAGCCACACTAATGGGGAACTGGAGCAGAAGTGGAGCTACTGGGACCTGAACCCATGCCCTTAAGGGATCCCGCTGCTATAGGCGACAGCTTTACCCGGTGAAGCACAGTGCCAGCCCCTGTTGTGGATTTCTTACCCTGGACCTTTGGGCCTTGTTAGGAGGGAGGAGGAAGTGACGGGGCTGGGGACTGAAAGATACCCACACATCTCTGTGAGTTCTGTGATGAATAGGTATTTGTCGTTTTCCAGGAGGTGACCATTTTCCATGCTTTAGACCACACTGCTGGTAGTGGATAATTTCCCTGTCAGTGGAGATGTGCAGGTGGATATGGGTGCTGGATAAGCTGGGAGAAGGCAAGGGTCCCCGCTCTCACAGCCCCTGGACCTGACCATTGTAATGTCACAGTCCTATCTGAGCTACCTGAGCACAATGCAGTGCAAAATCCCAGACAGGATGCCGTGTCTGTTGACTTCTCTTGGGCTTTGGGGAACTCGACGTGTATGTGCACAACAGAGTATGTAAGCGGGGAGAGAGACTCGGTGGGCAGACCTGAAATGTTCCAGACGGACTAGGAGCACTTGAAACACTCAGGGAGGGTTGGGGATTTTACTGTCAGAGTGAGGGAAAGCCACTGAATGGTCTTAGATGAATGCAGGAGCTAAGGCTGAGGTGGGTGCCAGCTGAGCTGTCACTGCACATTGGGGTCCTGGGCCTGGGTGTGTTGCTTGCACAGGGGCCAAGAGACCATTTTTAGGCCTCTCCCTGCTGCTCAGGTTGCACAGAATGGAGGAGAGGCTTGCAGAAGGAAAGGGGGATTCAGAGGTGACCGTTGTGCTCCAGCCTGAGTGCTGCAAAGCTCAGGTTCATTCATTCATTTAAAGGCAGAGTGACAGCGAGAAAGAAACCTTATCCACTGGGTCACTTGACAGTTGATCGAGGAGGCTGGAGCTCCATCCTGGTCTTCTATGTGGGTGGCAGAACCTCAAGTACCTTGTGACGTCATCTGCTGTTTTGTGTGATTCATAGTAGGGAGCTGGATTGGGAAGCAGGGTAGTAGGCATTAAACCAGAGTTCTCATGGGATGCTGGCCTTGTAAATGGAGGCTTAATTCACTGCACCCTAGAGCTCCCTTGCATCCTGGCCTTGGCCATGTGTTGCCTGTGCTGACCTGAGGTAGTGATTTCCTCCGTGAGTCTGTGTCTCAATCTGCAAGGAAGAGGCAATTGCAGCATCCGTCTAGCACTTTGGTTTTTTTTTTTTTTTTTTAGGAATTAAATAAGTTAAAATATCAGGAGTGCAGACAGTAGGGAGAGCCAGCGGCAGCGCTCATCATATTTCGCTGTTTCATTAGCTGTCGTTCTTCAGATGTTGTTAGAGGTGAGACCCATGAACAATGTTACAGCCGGTTTTAAATAGTTGTCGGGCACGTGGATCTGAAGCCTGGGAAGTTACAGATGGTGATCAGCTTGCAAAATATCATTAGTATTAGAAAGCAGAGCAGGAGTCCCAGGCCCAAGCCCCAAAGGAGCCCTCCCCAGTAATTAAGTCAGGAGGAAGCACCGGAGTGCAGCTGGTCCCAAAGGAGAGGCAAGCCAGGCTGTGCTCTGGATCCATCGTCTTCCACCATGGTGCTTTCGTAGCCTAGAATAAGAAGCCAGGGCCTAAGGTTGGCAGTGTGTTGTAGCAGGTGAAGCCACTGCCCGTGACACTGGTGGCATTCATATGCTCACTGGTTTGTGCTGACTGTTCCACTTCATTTTTTTTTTTAAGATTTATTTTGTTATTATTATTTTTTATTGGAAGGCAGAGAGGAGAGACAGAGAGAAAGAACTTCTGTCTGCTGGTTCACACCCAAGTGGCCGCAGTGGCCAGAGCTGAGCTGATAAGAAGTCAGGAGCCAGGAGCCAGCAGCTTCTCCTGGGTCTCCTACATGGGTGCAGGGTCCCAAGGCTTTGGGCCATACTTGACTGCTTTCCCAGGCCACAAGCATGGAGGTGGATGGGAAGTGGCGCAGCCAGGACACGAACTGGTACCTCTTATGGAATCCCAGTGTATGCAAAGCAGGGCTTTAGTCTCTGAGCCATCACGCTCCATTTCCAATTTAGCTCCATACTAACTGCTTGGAGAAAGTCACAGAAGATGGCCCAGGTGTTCAGTCCCCTGTCACCTGTGTGGGAGACATGGTGCAGCTCTCGATGTTGCAGTCATCTGTGGAGCCAGCAGTTGGAAGGTCACTGCCTGTGTCTGTCTCCCCATCTCTCTCTCTCTTAGTAGCATGGACTTTCAAACTGAAGTCTATCAATGGAAAAAAATAAAAGGGAGTCAGGCCCTCCTATTAAAGCTTGGGGTTTGGCACCTTGCCACACAGGGACATGACTTCTGCTTCTAACATTTCTTATTCTCTTCATTTAGAATAACTCCATTATGCTTATGAATTCTTCCGGGAAGGATAATAATGGTTCCATGAATATTAAATTAATCTCTCTCTGCCTGCCTTCCCTTGGGTTTAAATACTGTAGAAACTATACATATCATGTTTGATGGACATTTAAACGTGATGATCTGGTTTCAGTAGCAGGATTCCTCTTCTCAGGTAGTTGAAGTTGGAGGAAAAAGCTTGAAATGGTGCGACTTGGGTGCCACTGGATAGTAATGCTGTGTACCTTGCTGTGATTGCCAGGGTTTAAGCCAGGTGATAGCTGTCTGATAGGATTTTTTGCAAAGATTTATTTATTTATTTATTTATTTATTTATTTATTTATTGAAAGACCAGAATTACAGAAAGAAGTAGATACAGAGAGAAAGATATTCCATCCACTGGTTCACTCCCCAGGTTGTCACAATGGCCAGAGCTGAGTCTTTCCAAAGCCAAGAGCTTCTTCTGGATCTCGTGCGCTGGTGCAGGGTACTAAGGCTTTGGGCCGCTGTCCCAGGCCACAAGCAGGAACCTGGAAGGGAAGTGGAAAGGAAGTGGAGCAGCTAGGATATATACTCATATGGGGTCCTAGTAGATGCAAGGTAAGGACTTCAGCCCTTAGGCTACTGTACTGAGCCTGGAACTTCTTCAGCTCTCCAACACAGGTTCCAAGGTTTCAGGCTGTCTTCTGCTGCTTTCCCAGGCTTTAAACAGGGTGTGGTTCGAAAGTGGAGCAATTGGGCCTCAGACCAGAGCCCATATGGGATTCTAGAGCCACAAGTATAGGCTTATCATGCTATACTACATTGTTAGTTCCAAATATTTGTTTTATTGACAATATTTTCCCCCCTGCAAAGGTGTAAGTGTAGAAAGACCATTGGGGTGGTGAAGTCTCTTGGATAATCCAGTGCAACCCTTGCTGTCTATAGAACTGATGGACAGGAAGGCCTTGGTTGTAGATGCTGGGAATAAGAGCATTACCTAAAGCTAAGCTGTTCATGAGACATGGGAACCTCTGCTCTGGGTTAGGGCTACATCCTACCCAAGACAACTTCAGAGCCGCCATTAAACTCACCCCTTCACTCATAGGCGATGCTAGGGCGCTGTTGGTTGTCCACAAAGGCCTGCCTTCTGGACAGAAAGCATGGTATTGAAGGAAAATTGGAAAGGCAGGTAGAAGATACCAGATAAAGTATTTGGCTGCTCATCTTGCTCACCCATATAACTGAACAGTCTTACTTGGGGTGCATTATGGTAACCTGTCTGCAAGGACTTGAAAAGCTCTGCTAAATGTCTTGCTGAAATCCTAAAGTATGGGTGGCATTGTGGCATAGTGTGTAAAGCTACTGCCTGTGACGTCTGCATCACACATGGGTGCAATTTTGGGTCTTAGCTGTTCCACTCCCCATGAGCTCCCTGCTAATGGCTTGGGAACATTAGGGAAAGATGACCCAAATGCTTGGACCCCTGCTACTCATGTGGGAAACTAGTATGAAGCTCTTGGCTTTGGTCTTACACAGCACTGGGTGTTGTGGCCATCTGAGAAGTGAACCCGTGGATGGATTACCCTGTCTGTTATTCTGACTTTTAAATAAATAAATCTCTTTAAAAGAAAAAAAAAATCCCAAGGTCCATGGAGGCTTTAGAATCCCGTGATTGACTGATGTGCGGTCCTGAGTTCATCTCCTGAGCTCAGTGTCCAGTGCACCTGTATGCTCCTTTGTCCTCTTCCTATTCCTTGTGCAGCATAGATTTAGTGTGGGGATCCGCCCCCCTCCCGGATTTTGTATTGAAAAATTCACACCTGGGCCTGGTGTGATGGTTGAATTAGCTAGTCCTCCCCTTTCAAGCTACAGGATCCCAAAAGGGTGCTGGGTTATGTCCCACCTGCTCCACTTCCCATCTAGCTCCCTGCTTGAGGCCTGGGAAAGCAGTCGAGGATGGCCTGGACTCTGCACCCATGTGGGAGATCCAGAAGAACCTCCTGGCTTCTGATTGGCTCAGCTCCAGCCATTGCAGCCACTTGGGTAGTGAACCAGTGGATAGTAGATCTTTCTTCTCTGTAAATCTACTTTTAATTAAATCTTTTTAAAAATTCAAACCTAGGGCTTCTTCTAGGTCTCCTATGTGGGTTCAGAGTCCCAAGCACTTGAGCCATTTTATATTGTTTTCCTTAGGCACAATAGCAGCGAGTTGGATCAGAAGTGATTCAGCTGCAACTTTAATTGGCACCCATATGGGATGCTGGTGTCACAGGCAGGAGCTTAACCTGATTAGCCATAACATAAAATTTTGGTTCCCCAAAATTTTTCATGAAATAGTTTAAAAATATGCAGTGGTGGTACCCTGTGTACCTCCCAGGTGACTTAAGCAATTAAATTCCATTTTAGTTGCAAAAGAGCCCTGCAGTGCCCTTCCTGATTTCCTATCAATTCCTGTTTTCAAAGCCAGTCTCTGGAGTTACCGTCCTTTGCTTTTCTTTATAGATTAGCCACACACACACACACACACACACACACACACACACACACACACACTTCCATCTCTAAGTGCTCTGTTGAATTCTCATGTGCTTGGACTTTACACAATGGTTTCATACAGCAGACATCTGGAGATTCAGGCTTTTCACTTTTACTGTGTGGTTAAAGGAAAAATTATTCCAACATTTATTAAAGATGAAAAGAAAGACTTGATCCAAGGACTACTGTGGTGGGGCTCCAGGGCCCTCCTAGCAGTGTGGGACCACTTAGCGGCATTGCCAAGGCAGGGGCAGAGTTCCTAGATCCACTCCACAGGGCTCTGGCCTGAAGGCTAGCCAAGGTGAGAAGATGGAGGAGAGTTGAATTCTGATCTGTGATTGAAGCTGAGGATTTTCAGCCTCTCACAGCCTGTACCCAAGGAGGTGGCCTGGTTGAAAAAAGGTCTCAGATGAGCCTGGCTAGAGGGGAAGGTCTTTGCCATCTGACTAGGCAGCCCCCCTTCGGCTGTCCTGGAATCTGGAGGCTCGGGTTTAGCTTTGCCCGTGTAAGGAAGTAGGACCCTAACTGGCAGGGTAGGGAGCAGCTGGGGCTGAATCACTGCCTGTCCAGTGAGTGAGTTTGAGTGTGTGGCCATGCCAAGCCAGAGCATTCTGGCTGTATTTTGCCTACTTATGTCTTTTTTTACGGCTTTAAAATACCATAAAACTTACAGACCATAAAACTTAATATCTTTAAATAAATGTATAATCAAGGCCTAGCCCGGCAGCCTAGCGGCTAAATTCTTCACCCTGTACATGCTGGGATCCCATATGGGTGCTGCTGGTATGGGATCCTGGCACATTCAAGGCGAGGACTTTAGCTGCTAGGCCTCAGCGCCAGGCCCAGGGTGCTAGTTCTAATCCCGGCAGCTCCACCTCCCATCCAGCTCCCTGCTTGTGGTCTGTCAAAGCAGTCAAGGACGGTCCAAAGCCTAGGGACCCTGCACCCGCATGGGAGACCTGGAAGAAGCTCCAGGCTCCTGGCTTTGGATCGGCCCAGCATCGACCATTGCGGTGACTTGGGGTGTGAACCATCGGACTAAAGATCTTCCTCTTTGTCTCTCTTCCTCTCTGTATATCTGACTTTGCAATAAAAAAAGTAAATCATTTTTTTTTTTAAAGAATGAGACCAGCAGGAGATAATTTCCCTATCTCCCTATCTTAAAACACCATGATTTCTCAAATTCTTCCTGCCATTTGGTAGCTTGTTTTCTTTTTTTTTTTTTTTAAAGATTTATTTTTATTATTTTTTTATTGGAAAGGCGGATATACAGAGAGGAGAGACAGAGAGGAAGATCTTCCGTCCGATGATTCACTCCCCAAGTGAGCGCAACGGGCCTATGCTATGCTGATCCGAAGCCAGGAGCCTCTTCCGGGTCTCCCACACGGGTGCAGGGTCCCAAAGCTTTGGGCCGTCCTCGACTGCTTTCCCAGGCCACAGGCAGGGAGCTGGATGGGAAGCGGGGCTGCCAGGATTAGAACCGGCACCCATATGGGATCCCGGGCGTGCAAGGCGAGGACCTTAACCACTGCGCCACCGCGCTGGGCCCAAGGTAGCTTGTTTTCTATCTGTAGGCCCTGGCATGTGGATGAACCTCAAAATAGCCTCATGTTAGGTGAAAGAAGCCAGATAATTCCCCTGTGAGTCCACTGACGTGAAGGGTCCAGGACAGGCGTATCCCCAGAGGCCAAGAGTGCATTCATGGGCACCAGGGAGGAAGAGAGGATGCAGAACAGGTGTGAACCGGGCTTTGGATTCCTGTTGGACCGATCATGGATATGAGTGATGATTGCACAGCTTTACAAATAGACTTTAGAGACCCCTAAATTATACACTACAATCTTGTATGTGGTTGTAAGTAAAATATTTCTAAATGCTGACTAGGAAGAGAAAAAGACCCAGTGCAAATCCCATGGCCTCAGATGAATTATCCTTGCTCTTGGCTGCAAATAGCAACAGCCACCTCTACCACCCTTTGGCTGAGCCTCTTCCTGGAACTGCTAAGCTGCTTGGGAACACAGCGTCCTGGTTGTGTTTGCAGCTCCCAGTGCTTACCCCGGTTACATACCTGTTGAGAATTCATGGAGTGAATGTAAGCATTAGGTTAGAAGAAGTGGCAAATTAAGGCAAGCAGACCCTCTTCTTTGAATCCTGTTTTTCCCATAGAGAGGTCTGAACAGTCCCCACATACATAAAAACCACGTGCTCGGGTGTTCCTTCTGCTTTAGGAAGCCGGCGTGGTCTAGTTACTCTTACTGCTTTGCTTCCAGAAGTTTCTGTCTAAGCAGGCACTTGACTTGTGAGGGTCAAGGGCTTAGCATTTTGTTGTGCACAGCTCCCTACAGTTGTGAACTCAGCCAAAAGTAGTTTTCATTTTTGGCCATGTGTACACCAGATAGTTTGTTTTTGTATATCAGAGTATCTGAACTGTGTGCACATTAGAGGAAATTAGATGTTGGGCTGATTTATAACTGTACAGGTAAGACATGGTAAAATGTGTTAGCTAGTTAACAGACTGAGTTACAACTTTTTTATGGGAAGGAAATAATTCAAAAAATAAGGGGGTGTGGAATTAGAAAGAGTTTATTTATTTTTTTTCCAAGATTTTTTTTAATTGGAAAGTCAGATATACAGAGAGCAGAGAGAAAGAGACAGAGAGGAAGATCCTCCTTCAGATGGTTCACTCCCCAAGTGACCACAATGGCTGGTGCTGTGCCGATCCAAAGCCAGGAGCCCAGAACTTCCTCCAGGTCTTCCACAGCATCCTGGCCAGGCTGGCATGAGCCCAGTAGATGCGTAGGGGTGGGTTCTTCCTCTTGGTGTAGGTCCCAGCCCTGAAAGGTCTCTTCACGGTGGTGATGGGGCAGGCCACCCGTAGACCCAGTTGCCAGAAGGCAGCAATAGCTGCAGAAGATGAGGCTGAGAAGGATGGACAGTGTCCTAGGCCAGGAACACAGCGATGTTTGACAGGGCGGCCTCGTGAATGACTTGGTGCAACTGCTGCTGGAGGCACTGATGAGCAGAGAGCAGTGGTCAGTAGGGCTTGGTGGCATGCAGGGGACCTGCTGGGCTCTGTTACATGCTACAGCAGGCTGCAGATGTCAGCAGCTGCGCAGACAGAAGTAGTCGGAGGTCCCTGTCACAAAGACACCTGTCAGGAAACACGTCGCTGGGCCCATGTGCAACATGGGATTGGAGAATGCCTGTAAACTGGACTCCTAGCTGGTCATGCTCTGAAAGCAGAGGAGCGTGCTGGACAGCATGTCCTAGGACCATGGCCCCCAGATCTGCTCTCTTGATTTCTCTGCCATGTGATCATACCTGCTTACCATGTTGAACTGCGCTGTTTTCTCTGACAGATGTATTTTAGTATCAGCCCCATTTTATAAGGAAGAACACATACAGGTAAAAGAAGCGCTTAGTCCAAATGAGGGGAATAAGCATCAGTGTCTACTAATAACTTTTGTCTTTTTTTAAACCTTTGATAGATATGTGCATTGCGATTGCAATTTCTCTTCTGATGATCCTGATCTGTGCGATGGCCACCTATGGGGCCTACAAGGTAAGGAGCTTGCAGTTATGTACTGGGCCCTTAATTCAGCTGCTTACATATGTAATTCATCTAACTTTCTGTAATGCAAGGGTACTTTAAAAAGTTCATGGGAGCATAATATTAAAAGCTGTTTGTTGGGTCACTGCTTCTGGCACAGGTTCAAGATCTGGTTACATCATTTCCGCTCCAGCTCTCCGCTAACATGCTTGGGAAAGCAGGAGAAGATGGCCCAAATCCCTGGTCCCTACACAAACCTGGAAGACCTGGAAGAAGCTTTTGGCTCCTGACTTCAGCCTTCCCTCTCTCTAGCTATTGTAATCATTTGGGAAGTGAACCACTGGTTGGGGGATCTTAGTCTTTTCCTCTCTGTCATTCTGCTTATTAAAAAATTTTTTAAAAGGATAAGAAACTTTCATACCATTAAAAACCCCTATTTTTTGAAAGAGTGACCCAGAGACTTCCGTTCTGCTAGTTCATTCTAATTGCTTGCAGCAACTGAGACTGGATGAAGTTGAAGCCAGGAGCCCAGAACTCAGTCGTGGGCCGGCCTCTGCTTCCAGGTGCTCCTTAGCAGGAAGCTGGATCAGAAATGGAGTCAGAACAAGAATTCATGGGACACTTCCCTATGGGATGTTTGTATGCCAAGGATCATGTTGACTGTCCTGGGAAACAGCCTCCTTGGCACAGAATACTTGTGAAAGCCACACATACTTTCTTCATAGCGTGTATTTTCTTGAAGATGTCGCGTAAGTCAGAAGCAATTGTTTTTGGTTTCCTGCACAAGAGTGCCGAGGAGTTCAAATGTCTCCCATATTACCACTAGGAAATCGGTGAATTCAGAATCTTTCTGTGTGTGGCCTACCAATGGCTATCACAACCTGGTTGCCATTTTCCTTCAGATTCATAAGAGATTTCTTTGATGTCAAACAAAGTTTTGTGATATTGAGTGTGTTAATGATCTCTCTTTTTTTCCTGTTTAGCAACACGCCGCCTGGCTCATCCCATTCTTCTGTTACCAGATCTTTGATTTTGCTCTGAACACGTTGTTTGCAATCACTGTGCTGGTTTATCCCAACTCCATTCAAGAATACATACGCCAACTGGTACGTGGCCTGCCCAGTCACGCTCTGAGTGAGGGAGAGAAGGTGGGGCTAGACATACATACACTGTGATTTGTAGAACTTTAACTTGTGTCTGAATTAGGGTCAGAGTTTTCGGGTATCTTGTGGATATGACTTTTGGCTTCTCAGAATACTTTTTAGGAAATCATAACCTCCCTAAGCCCAAGAGAGATGAATTGTGGCAGCACTGGTGGAGGGTATGCCACATTATAATAGTTATTGATGATCTTATTCTTATTTTTTTAAATAGAAGTTTGCTTAGTGTTCAACAAAGGTTGGAGTTCTGGATCTACTGTTTCATGGGAGGATTAGAACTCTTGCTTATTAGGCCCTAGAGGCCCTCTCTCTCCTAAGCATCATTTTGGGACAAGTTTACCATTTAAATGGTTTTGTGATTGTATGAGCCAGTATTGGTAGCTGGGTATTTAAGAAGCTGAAGGCAACTATGAGGTAGGAATGTTGCTGTGGTCTCCCTCTCAATCTTTGTTGGTTTGTCCTTTTTAATTTTTTATTGATGAGGAAGACCCAGTGCTGCTATCCACTCATTCACTTTTCAGATGCCTACAGTGGGCTGGGCAAGTAGCACCCAGGATTATAATCCAGGTCTCCCTAAGCAACACAGTTACTTGAGCCATCCCTGCAGCTTCCTATGATCCACAGGAGTAGGAAGCTGGAGTTGCATAGAACCATGCAGTGAATCCAGATATTCTGGTGTGAGACATGGGCATCTGGTTTTTAGAAAAGCCTTAATTATTTGAAAGGCAGACTTACAGAAAGCAAGATTGAGAAAGAGAGAGAGTCTTACATGTATTATTTTACTCCCTAAATGGTAGGTTCGTGTAGGCAGTGCTGGTCCAGGTCAAAGCCGGGAGCCTGACGTTCCCATCTGGGGCTCCCAGGTGGGTGTCCAGGGCCTGAGTGCTTGGTGTGTCTCCTGCTGCCTGCACAGCTTAACCCACTCCACCACAACATTGGCTCCCAGACAAGATGTCTTAACCACTAGACTAAAGACTCACCTTAGTCTTTTTTTTTTAACTTGTGACTGTATGTTAAAATTTAATTTCTTCAAAAGTTTAGAATGTTACTAAACGGAGAGGATATTTACTCTTTGGAGTTTGGTGATAAGTTTCTGGGTGCAGTCCAAGCAGTTTTCTGGGCTGGTAGAGATGAGCCTGGGGACTCTGGGGGATGTGGAAGTGACAGCAGTAGAGGGGTGGAGCCACAGAAGTCTGCCATCACAGGACTCAGCAGAGACTTTGCATTGAGCTTGGCGGTGAAGATGCTGCTCTAGACACCTGTGTGCCACGCTGGAGTACCCAGGCCAGGTTCTCAGCTGTGCTTTCTGTTTTCAGACATGGGTTGCATTCCGGCTTCTGACTTGTGTTGTAGCTGTTATAGGCTTTTGAGGTCTGGGTGCCGTGGGGGTGAACCAGTGGATTGGAGCTAGTGTCCACACACTTTCTAACTTTATATCTATGCCTTTGACTCTCAGTTAAAGAAACAGTTGGGGGAAAAGAAAAGGATTGCTGTAATTGTCATTCTTGTTATTAGTAGCGTCTGTTTGCTTTAGAAAACAAGTTCATGTTTTGTATGTGTAAATTTTTCATAGTTTCCCTTGTGCCTGCGAGTGTTTGCGTGTGAAGGATGTGCGTTTTTCCTCTGTAATAATGTCCTGGTGCTGTGCTCCTAAACCCCTGCCAAAAGTATGGAGACAACCCGATCCCAGCATAGCCTGTCCCGTGCAGGCTGGGTGGAGGTGACGAAGGAGCCTGGAGGTGGCCCTGTTACCGAGTAACATTTCATACGTTGTGTTCCCTACACACACTGCAAAGCCCAGCAGGCAGGACAGGCATGTGCAACCCTTGCCGAGCCAGCCTCCTTCCTTCAGGGCTCCACAGTGTCTGGTTCTCAGCCCTTGTTTGCTTTAGAGCCATCTGTGGTGTGATGGTGATGCTGCTGGTGTTGATAGTGATTGCAGTGTAGGAAGGAAGGAATCGGCGTAATTACACACCGCTAATACCAGCAGCTGTCTTCTATAGATTGTCCTTAAAGACCCATCTGTGCGCCAAGAGCAAGGTCTGCAGATGGCCACCATGCCCGGGAGACTACAGTGAGGGGCAGGTTGAAGTTTTCCTGGTACTGAGGTCCTTGCTGTCAGACTGAGAAATTAGGGGTCCAGAGAGACTGGACCCTGAGTGACCTAATCCTAGTCTTGTAAGTCAGACAAGTTCTGCATGTCCTATATAGATCTTGGTTAGATGTCTAAAGCGGACAGCCAGGAGCTTCTTCTGGATCTCCCATGTGAGTGCAGGGGCCTGAACACTCGAGCTATTCTCTGCTGCTTTCTGAGGCCGTTAGCAGGGAATAGGATTATAAACAGAGCTTTCAGAACGCAAACCAGCACTCATATGAGATGCCAGTGCTGCAGGTGGAGGCTTAGCGTGCTATGCCACATCACAGGCCATTGAACCTCTTCTTTTTTAATTCTCCACAGGAACAGTATAGTTCCTCTTGGTCTTGTAAAAAAACCCTATGTTATTTTTATCTTGTAAGATCAGTTCCACCAAAAAGTACTAGACTGCCAGGGAGGGGACCCATTGTGCAAGCTCTTCATCACGGAGCAAGGACTTTGATGGTATACATTGGAGGGAGATCATGACACATCCAGGATGTTGTTTCTGTCCCTGAGGAGCAGGACCCCAGCCCATCGACACTCCTGCATGTTTCTTGGTTCTGCCCAAAGGTCTGGCCCGGCATCTGGGAGAAACAGCCCGAGGTCCTTCGCCCCTGGGCGCCTGTGTACTCAGGGAAGTCCTGACTTCCCACCAACCTGAGTAGATTTGGATGCTGCTAGGAGGATCCGTCCCATTAATTAAGCAAAGTGGATAGATGATAAGACATTTTTTTAAATGCTACAAGTATCTGTTATGAAGAAGCTGCTGTTGCTGCAGAGCGAAAGGACACCATCTGAATGATGTCTCTGCTCTTGCCCTGCACACACCCTTTAGAATAGCGCCGCCCTGGGCAGGTGGAGGGATTTAAATACCAGGGCAGTGCAGGAGCAGCCCTGGAAACGGCAGAGTCAGGGCCCCACAACCTTTGCTGTGGTTCGGTTCTTTGGGGAGTTCCTGTCCCACGAATGAAGGGACTGTGCTCTTCGTCACACCTTCTGTAGCTTTTTCCTTGCTGCAGGGGCTAGAGATACTGTGCTGGCCCTGAGTGGCAACTGTCTGCTTCCATCGGTTGCTTTCTGGTAAGCGTGCCTCAATTGCTGCCCAGGGAATATGATCTTGAATGATTAATGAGACTTGCTAATGAGGCTCTTTTCTTTTACAGCCTCCTAATTTCCCCTACAGAGAGGATATCATCTCCGTGAATCCTACCTGTTTGGTCCTTATTATTCTTCTGTTTATCAGCATTATCTTGGCTTTGAAGGTAAGCATGGATGAAGATTTTACTTAGGGTATAACTATAATTACACTATTCTTGAATGCCAAAGAGATCAGGAAACTGTTGTCTGTGCATTGCCTCACCTTAAATAATTTAATCTGTTTTTTGATTTTGTAACATTGCAGTTCTTTGTCTCTGACACAGAAACATTAACCAGAATTCCACATGTCAGCTAAGGGTTACTGCGGAATTTGATTGTGTGGGAATAAATTAATAATAAGGTTATACATTCCAAAAGCTCATGGAAGATAATGTAGTCACTTTTTTTAAGATTTATTTTATTGCAAAGTCAGATACACAGAGAGGAACATCTTTCATCCGCCGATTAACTCCCCAAGTGGCTGCAATGGCCATAGCTGAGCTGATCCAAAGCCAGGAGCCAGGAGCTTCTTTGGGGTCTCCCACACGGGTTCAGGGTCCCAAGGCTTTGGGCTGTCCTCAACTGCTTTCCCAGGCCACAGACAGAGAATTGGATGGGAAATGGGGCCACTGGGATTAGAGCTGGCGCCCATACGGCATCCCAGCGCATTCAAGGTGAGGATTTTAGTGACTAGGCTACTGCACCAGGCCCAGAATATGTAATCTTTAAAATCTGCATGGCTTTCCAACTTTCTTGCCTCAAAACAAATTTGTAATTCCATTTCCACAAATTTCAGGGAAGTACCCCTGTAAATGATACTGTAGTATCCACTGTGACTTCTCTATAATAGACTCTTTACAAATTTTGTTTTCAGAATGTAATGTATTCTGAATATGTTTCTCTATCATTTCATTATATGCTATCACTTATTAGTAATGCTACCCTGAGTATGTTTAAATCTGTCCTTGTATACTTACGTTTATTTCCCCAAACTTATTTCTTAAAATCAGAGGCTGCTAATAGTTTGAGAGGCTTTGATAGGTTGTCATTGATTCCCCAAAAAGCTGACTGGTTTGCTTCCACCATCAATCTCGCCTCACCGTCATCAGCCTGTTCTGCATCAACCTCCTTGTTAAAGCATCCTTCCACCTTGTGCTTGGGTGCTACTAACATGTGCAGACTTGCCACATAATCCCCAGTCTTTGAATTGTTACATCTCGGTGCCTTTCAAAGTATTTGTTTTATCATGAAATTACCTGTTCTTAAAACAAAATGCAAGCTTTTGTAAATTTAAAGAAACTGCATTTAGGGGGAAAAGTAATTTTAAATAGGTGGTATAATGAGGTTGAGTAGAAAGAAATGATTTAGTTGTCTGAAAGCAGAGTTTCAGATGTGAGAAGATGAAGAGAGAATAAAGGAGGGAGGAGTAGAAAGAAAGGAAAAAGAGGGCCTGGCGCAGTAAGTAGCCTAGCGGCTGAAATCCTCTCCTTGCACACACTGGGAACCCACTTCCAGCAGCCCCACTTCCCATCCAGCTCCCTGCCTGTGGCCTGGGAAAGCAGTGGACGACGGCCCAAGCCTTTGGGACCCTGCACCCGTGTGGGAGACCCGGAAGTGGCTCTTGACTTCAGATCAGTGCATTTCCTGCTGTTGTGGCCACTTGGTGAGTGAACCACGAGATGAAGGATCTTCCTCTCTGCTCTCTGTATATCTGATTTTCCAATTTAAGAAAATCTTAACAAAGAAAGAGAAAGTGCTATTTCATGTGCTGTTTCACTTCCCGCAGCCAGCTCTGGGCCAGGCTGAAGCTAGGAGCTTCATCCAGTTCTCCCCTGGGAGAGGCAGGAGCCCTCGTGCGTTAACATGGAGCTGGGTGGGAGGCAGCTGGCTTGAACTTGAACCAGTGCTGTGGTCAATGGGGAATGCTAGCACTGCAAGTGGCTCCCTCACTGGCCACACTGCAGCTCTGGCCCCTGCTGCTGCTCCTCAGTGAAGGTTCATCCGCACACCGTTTCCCTGGTTGTCCAAACAAGACACCTTCAGTCTCACTCCACAAAGACCGAAGAGGAGGCAATGCTTAGCACTTAGCTGTGCAAGCAAATGCTGGGAAGACGATTTGGGAAATACACGAAGCGGTGAACGCCTAACTCAAGATGACAGAGCTGCGATAGCAGGCAGAAGCTTTCTCCTGTCGGAAGTGGTCCGTAGGTGAATGAGTGTGCCAGGCCCCTGAGCATGCTCATGTGGCTTTGTGGGCTTTCTTGCTTTACACAGCTTCAATAAAGAAGTGACAGCCCCACAAAAACTGTGTCACAGAAAATAGCAACACAGTTTTGAAAAAGTGTTAGCATAGTTCACTAAGCTGAAAAGGTGAGTACATTGTGTGCCTTGTCAAATAAAATAATGACTGGTCGCTTCTGCCCTGCAGGGCTACCTGATCAGCTGCGTGTGGAACTGCTACCGCTACATCAACAGCAGGAACGCCTCCGACGTGCTGGTGTACGTGACCGGCAACGACACTACGGTAGGTGTGGATCGCGCCCCTGCCCCAGCATCCCCCGTGCTTCTGTTGTTGGTGCAGACTCACTGAGCTGCTTCGTCAGCAAAGGATTTGCTGCCGATTGAAATGCCTTTGTGTCCCTTCTACCTTCATTGTAGTGAAATGTAGGTGGCTCAGCTTCTGGTTAACTTTCTTTTTTTTTTTTTTTTTAAGATTTATTTATTTATTGGAAAGTCAGATATATACAGAGGAGGAGAGACAGAGAGGAAGATCTTCCGTCTGATGATTCACTCCCCAAGTGACTGCAATGTCCTGTACTATGCCGATCCGAAGCCAGGAGCCAGGAACTTCTTCAGGGTCTCCCACACGGGTGCAGGGTCCCAAGGCTTTGGGCCGTCCTCGACTGCTTTCCCAGGCCACAAGCAGGGAGCTGGATGGGAAGTGGAGCTGCCGGGATTAGAACCGGTGCCCATATGGGATCCTAGGGCGTTCAAGGCAAGGACTTTAGCTGCCAGGCCATGCCGCCGGGCCCTTCTGTTTAGCTTTCGATGTACCTTAAACTTGACTCCTTCAGCCATGGCATATCATGATGGATCTGTTGCAGTTTTACTTGACCATCTCACTTCACATACAAATAAAGCTAAATTTTGTAATTTCGGATGTAGATAAATGAGAATGGCAGAAGTACTATGTCTTGAAAGCTTTCCCTCCTATAAAAGGGTTTTTTTTTCTTTTTAAAAGATTTTTAAAGATTTATTTCGCAGATTTCTTTGCTTTTCCTGGGTACCTCAGCAGGGAGCTGCATCAGAAATGGAGCAGGTGGGACACGAAGCACTGCCCGGATGGGATGCTGGTGTCGCAGGCGCCGTGTTTACTTCCTGCACCATCATGCCAGCCCCTTAACAATTTTAAAAAATCAGATAACAATTTTAGAAAACATGTCTTCACTGAAACTGTCCTTAAAATTATTTGTGTTTATGTAAACTATCTTGAAATTAACCATCTGGCTTGTGGTAGAAGTCTTAGATTCTCTGATATTGGATGCCTCTGCCATATCTGTACTAGTGCCTGATGCCAAGCTTGATACAAATGAGTGCTTGAAGAAGACGGGGCTGGCTGATGTTAGCATGAGACAGAAAGGGATGAAGGGTTGCAGAGGCAAGGATTGTACCAACTAGGACTGGACAGGTGAAAGAAGAAATGAGTGTAAATGATATATCAAGTCCAAATTAGAGTAGGGTCCCGTTTGATTTTGATTTGTACATTTTGGTGACTTATTCATGCTGTGACCTCACTGATAAAATTTCTTCCCCTTCCTTCTAAAAATTTTTAGAAATAAAGAGAAAATTTTAAAGGCAGAGAGGGAGAAAACAGAGAGAGGTGTGTTCTGTTTGTTGTTTGACTTCCTGAATGTCTGCCAGGCAGCCTGGGCTGGACCCAGCTGCAGCCAGGAGTCCAGCCCTCCTACATCTGCCTGGGTGGCAGGGGCACAAGAGCCCAAGCCATCCCTTCTGCCCCTCGGGGTGCCTGTCCCTGAGGCGCTGGGAGTCGCAAGGACTCCGTGAGCCAGGAGTCAGGCACTCTGTGGAGTGAGATATCCAAAGTGGTATTTTTTTTAAAATGCTTATTTATTTGAAAGAATTACAGAGACAGAAGGAGAGGTAGATCTTTTGTCCACTGATTGATTCCTCAGATGGCCACAGCAGCCAGGTCAGGAGCAGGAGGCGGGAGCTTCTTCTGGGTCTCCCACATGGGTGCAGGGGTCCAAGGACTTGGGCCATCTTCCGTTTATTGGAGATTTTTGATTTCGAGGAAGCAGTGAAATTGTTAAACAAATGAAGTGATCCCGAGCAGGTATCGCCTGTGTCACATATGCCTGTTTTGATACCATTTTGTTGTGATTCATTCATTGGGGATTTTATAGAAATTGGAGTGCACAGAAGTGGAAGTGCTAAAAATACAACATACTGTTGAAAATTCTTCTCCTTTAGAAGATATAAAAATATGTGCCGGAATTTTTATGTAGCCTTGTTGCTAAAACTTACCAAAATAGCTGTACTTTTAACTCTGCATTCCTGGGTCTTGTAACAGCAGGCCACTTGCTCAGCGCAGCTTCCACGTGGGCTAATTAATCACAACGACAGGTCGGGGCCGTGGACTAGGGCTAGCTGTCTTTGTTTCTTGGTATGCTATGATTGTGGAAGTTCTTGGTGATAATGCTTTTTTTTTTTAAGATTTATTTATTTTTATTACGAAGTCAGATATACAGAGAGGACGAGAGACAGAGAGGAAGATCTTCCGTCTGATGATTCACTCCCCAAGTGAGCGCAACGGCCGGTGCTATGCTGATCCGAAGCCAGGATCCAGGAACTTCTTCCGGGTAACCCACATGGGTGCAGAGTCCCAAGGCTTTGGGCCATCCTCGACTGCTTTCCCAGGCCACAAGCAGGGAGCTGGATGGAAAATGGAGCTGCCGGGATTAGAACCGGCGCCTTTATGGGATCCCGAGGCGTTCAAGGCGAGGACTTTAGCTGCCAGGCCATGCTGCCGGTCCCGAAAGCACTATCTTTCAAAGTCTAGAATTTCTGATTGTGTACACTTTGGTCCCCTCTTTGTAGTAAATTGTTGAATCTAGAGGCTTCCTGTATTCAAGATGTGTGTTTTCTAGATGGCTTCCTAGGTGATAGTTTGTTTTTGAAGAGTCAGATATTTAATTATTTTTGTCTTTCTTGTTGGGGTTGCAGTCACTTGCCAGCCAGGACATTTCAGCACCTTGCCAGGTGCACTGGTTGACTGTGCGCTGATACTGTGATATGGAGAAACAGACTTGCTTTTGTTTTCTTCACTATCAGTTGTCAAAATGGGTTATCTGTCATCTTTAGTTATGCCCATCATGAGTTGTTGGTTTTTGTTTTGTTTGTTGGTTTGTTTTCCAAAAGGAAGCACTTTTGTCTACCAGTTCATTCCTTAAACACCCACAGTGATTGGACTGAGGTAGCTCAAACCTGGCAACTGGTAGCTCCATCTGGATCTCCCACATTCGTGGTGGGATTCAAAGACTTGAGCCATCATCTGCTACCACCATGGTGTGCGTTAGCAGAAAGCTGTGGTCGGGAGGGGAATTAGAGCTTATTTCAGGATACTGTGCTGTGGGATGCGGGCAGCATCCTAAACACTGTCAGACGACTGTCCTGATCCTGGAGCGTTAGCTAGGACCTTGGATGGCTTCCAGATTCTGTCTGATGGCTAAGCTTGTCTTGCATATTTCTTGCCCCAGACCTGGAGTCAGCCGTTTCTCCCAGGAACCTCTTTTCCTCTTTGGTAGGAAGTGATATCTGGAGGACACAGTCTAGATTGTAAGGCAGGTTATTAATGTACTTTATTATGAATTATTAAGTAAATTTTAAAGCAGAGCGCTGCATGGTTCAAGGTTGTATTGGTTAGAACTGAAGAAGATAATTTAGTGTTCTAACCTGAGAGAGCCTGAGTTGGACTTGGAATGATCTGGTTTGGTCCCTCGGCTCTGAGTGCACTGAGGACCTCCCCTCAGTGGGGCCCACACTGGCTGCTCTGCTTTCAATCTTCCGCGTTATTGTTGCTCCTCGGAAGTGGCAGAATACGGCTCAAAGCCCTGGGCTCCTGCCATCCACAGGGGGCTCTTGGCTGTTGGCTTCAGCCTGGCCCAGCCCTGGCTCAGACTGGGGAGTCAGCTAGTGAATGGAAAATTGATCTATTACTCTGCCTTTCACATACATAGATCTTTAAAGAAGGAAGTCCTCTGTGTTTCTCTTTGGTCTAACCTTTATTGGATCCACATGGATCATAGTGTGCGCCAACAGAAAGCCTCACAGTGCATTGTCAGTGGACTAGGACGGGGTGCAGTGGCAAGTTGCAGTCTTGAGTTTGAGCAACTGTGCGTAAAAAAAACTACATTTCTGACTTCCTCTTGCTGTTTTGGAAATTTGGGTAATTCTGTACTTGACAGTGTATGATTAGAAAGTTCTTTATTTTTTCCATTTAAAGATTTTTTTTTTATTGGAAAGTCAGACATAGAGAGGAAGATCTTTTGTCTTTTGGTTCACTCCCCAAGTGGCCAGAATGGTTGGAGCTGAGCTGATATGAAGCCAGGAACCTGGAGCCTCTTCCGCGTCTCCAGATGCAAGGAGGGGACCTCGGCTTTTACACTGGACTCATCTTTGCAGATTCTTTAGAAAGGAGTTTCTGGAGTGGGTAGAGGAAGGTTTTACTGAGAAAGTTGGTTACTGGGCTACCCCATACCCCTTTTATATCAATTTTTAAAAAAATTTGATGAGCCCAGCAGCGTGGCCTAGCGGCTTAAGTCCTCGCCTTGAACGCGCCGGGATCCCATATGGGCGCTGGTTCTAATCCCGACAGCTCCACTTCCCATCCAGCTCCCTGCTTGTGGCCTGGGAAAGCAGTCGAGGACGACCCAAAGCCTTGGGACCCTGCACCCGCGTTGGAGACCTGGAGGATGTTCCTGGCTCCTGGCTTCAGATCGACACATCACCAGCTGTTGCACACACTTGGGGAGTGAATCAGCAGATGGTAGATCTGTCTCTGTCTCTCCTCCTCTCTGTATATCTGACTTTGCAATAAAAATAAATAAATCTTTTAAAAAATTGATGAAAGGTAAGGCGACGGTGTGAGAGCTTCCATCTGCTGATTCATTCTACTAGTGGCTACGATGACTGGGGCTGGGCCAGGAGCCCAGCACTTCAGGTCTTACACAGGGTAATGGGGCCTAAGCACTGGAATCAGATTTTGCTGCTTTCCCAGGAACAGTAACAGGAAGCTGTAATGGAATTTGAATTTTTTTTTTTAATTGGAAAGTCAGATATACAGAGAGGAAGATCTTCCATCTGCTGATTCACTCCCCAAGTGGCTGCAACAGTCAGAGCTGCGCTGATCCAAAGCTCTTTCAAGTTTCCCACATGGGTACCTGGTGCCAAGGCTTTGGGCTGTCCTCACATGCTTTCCCAGGTCACAAGCAGGGAGCTGGATGG